GATCATACCATTAGACTACAGCGGGATGCTATTTCTCTATTTACTTATTTTACTTCTCAATATGTGACCGATTAACAAATTTCAGACTCACTTCGATAAGAAATGCATTATGAAACGAACAATTCATTGAGAGATATTTATTTATCAGAACTATGAAAAATTCACCAATTTTAGTGAAACTTTTATTTGCATACACTTTAGTATTCTTCAGATAATGATATAGTTGCAAATCAGCTATCAAATATTACAACTTATTCTACTGTATTTGATCTCTAGAGATGTTAGGAAAATCATTACTTGAGTTTTGATATGGATCATGTCTAAACATATAAAATAGATAGAATATAGATTTCATTTCATTTATTAATATTGAGTTTAGAATAGACAGATTGTCATTGGGAAAAATATAAAAATAAATTTTAAATGACAACAGTGGGATTCAGAACATAAATTAACTAATACACATCAAATGAATGAGTCATTCAAAAGAAAGAACGATCATGAAAGTCCATCCTATGTAAAATCTCTCATTTCTCACAATATGCTCCTGGAAAATATCATATTTGTACTGTATATACAATATTAAAACATGTTTTTCTGTCTTATTTAGTTTATTGATTTAATGCTTCTAGACACTAAAGTAACAACTTATTGATATTCTAAGTTTATAGATAACAGTGAATTATGAAAGCAAAAATTCATTATATATTTGACAATTATGTGTTCAGCGCAAAATAGATCAGAGTGGGTGGGGTTGAGAATGCAGTCTCAATCTCACCCACACCATCAGAGTAACTTACAAATATATTTATGTTTCCATCATACTTTTTGTATATAAATTGGGAATAGAGGTGAATAACTATTGAAATTAGAATACTCAAGCCACTGTAGTACAATGGTAGTATAACGGTTTGTCCAACCGAAGAACAGGGTTCAATTCCCTGCTGTGGCGAAATATTCTTTTTGTTTCATAATTACAAATCTATTTGCAAGACAATGATGCATGAATGATTCATTTTATATGGTAATTGCGTAAGATTAGAGGAGAAAATGAAATAATTTCTTTTTGTATTTGTTTTTATATATACATTTATCTGTCGAGTTTTTTCAAGTGAAGAATATTCTAATTAGTAATTCGAAGTTCAAATAAAGATGAAAAAAAAATTAGAGCATGATCAGATCATGTTTATTATATCGATCATCTGCTCATTGTGATTTATTGATATATTTCTACTCTACGTCGATGTGCAATACTCTTGTAAAATAAATTTATTTATTGAAACCATATTGATAACCAACTGACATACTATTTATGTTCAGTTTCTTCCAGCATTTTCTCACGAGCATTGACATGTCTACCAACCTAGGTCGTCGAATTGAACCTTTTTTTATAACCACATTGTTTGTATCGACTGTTACGGGCAGTTCCACCACCGAATTTAACACAAATTTTTAACGCATAAGAACGACTTCTTACAGCATGGGCTTCTCCTATAAGTCAAAAATATGACAATGAGCAGTTACGACTTTTTCTAAAGCACCTTTTCTTTGTGATTGATGCTAAGATGAGAGCAACGTTGAGTAAAATATAGATCACTGTTTGACGTACTATTATGTTTATCAAATATTAGTAATGATTTAACCTAAATCATGAACATCTCTTTCAAATATAGTATTTCGAGTAAATCATAATTGATTATATATTATTCTTGTAATGCCATTTCTATCAGAACATGGAATACATATTGACGCTTTTATCCTCAACAATATTGACTTCGTTCTGGAGTGTCTCGCGTGATAAATTGCCCTGTAAGTAATCTCTAACTACGATACTTCATTAAACCTAAAAACAATATCAACCGTTGAGAGTGTAGAGTGACGAGAATCATTGCATATGAAAAAAATAAAGAAGCAATGCTCGAATATCAAGAATAAGCATCTGTAGCTCAATGGTAGAGTACTCGATTTCCACTCGAGCGATTTGGGTTCGATCCCCAACAGATGCATTTACTTTTTATGACGACATTCGAAGATTACATCTATGGATGATGCAATGTATTAGTCATTTCATGATATGTTTCATACATTGAAAATATGATGCAATATACAATCAGAGAACAGGATAGTGTTGTAATCATGCGAAAGTCATAGACGGGCCGTACCGAGACATCTAAAGCAGAAGAGAACGAGGGGCGTAATAAGAGATGTCGAATCCAAAAACAAATTGTAATGACCGACTATTTCTTTAAGCTTTTTAAAAAAATTTTCTTAGAATCTTTACGACTTTTTCAAAAAAATTTACAGGCGGTTTTTCAAATTTTTCGATATAGCCTGAAGATTTTAAGAAGTTCGCTGAAAGTTTTTGAGGCTTTTTTGAAAACTTTTGAAAGTTTTTCGAAATTTTCTGAATTTGGGTAGGTGTGTGTGGGCGCGGCTGTAGGTATTATATTTATTTGTATTTAACACCCACACCCACCCTCTGAAATGAATGTTCACCGTTCTTCATAAACTTTTCTTGTATAATTTGACTCTATTATTATGACTTCTGATGGATATATATTTTCATAATCGCTGTAAAATCGTATTAATCAAGACTGTAGCATACAAACCGTTTTATCGCTTATATTCATCGCTTCCTTCCGTCCTACACTCTACCAACATTTTTTTATTATAAGTATAACTCAACTGATATATTATTATTCGTGAATTCTTACGAAGAACATTCTATTTATCATCTGTATTCTTCATTTTCAATATTATTTGTATTTAACTCTTCTTCAATATTCATGTACTTGTTCGAGAATATTTTCCTTGTTGTATTACATTTTGCCTGTTAAATAATAAATAATTTATTCTTTTCTGTCTTACGGCAGCTTAGTTATTCCATATTCAATCATTGTATTACACGTGATTCTCTTTTCAACAGCAAATTATTGTCTGTTCTTATATCTAGCTATAATAACGCTAGACATCAAACACAGCTAATTATGAAGACAGACAGAACGCAAGAGAGAGAGATTTTTTCTTTTTTTTCTGCTTGTGGAAAACGCAAGAAAATGTCGGGATCGAACGGGTTAACAGAAATAGATAAAAGAGAGAATTAGTTATGAAAAAAAGAAGAAATACGGTGAGAAAAGAAAAAAAAATCTTCAGTTACAATTCGCAGGGTACTGTTTTTTGATACTTATACTTGTTATTGTGATATCAATGAGATTCATTGATTACTATGCGTGTAAGATGTCAATCATGAGGATGTGAAAGAAACACAATTATCACATCCTCATGAAATGCTATCCAAGCTTCCAAATTTGTATAGCAAAAAAGAAAACAAAAGTGTGTAATAACATTCTAGACAACTCAAGAATGAAAGTGATTAATATTCAGTTTTTTTTTAATAATCATTACAAATAGATATCCAATAATACCATAAGAAATATTGAATTGAAAATTGTTTAATGAATGAATATTTGTCAGAATAATTATTGTGGAAAAACAATTCTAAAGGTATGGATGCGAATACGAAGGTATTGATGTGGAGCGTGATTGTATACGTTCTACAAGCTGACACTCATGTCCCCATTCACATCTATCCTCAATCTAGAGAATATGTAAGCAGGAGGAGCACTCGAAAGAAAAAAGAAAGAGAACAAACAAAAATGAATCTTTATGCAAAAAAAACAGGAAAACAAACGTCGGCGCGATCTTTCATACTTGTAAAACGGCTAACTCATCGACGATGCTATTCTTTTTGTGATTTTATCACAGCAGATGTTAATTATACAACAAAATTGAAGATAAAATATATTACTACAAAATTTCGTCACAATATAATAGAATACAATGATTCATCGGTCATAAATGACTAAGTCAATATTTTTTTATAGTTGAGAAAATCCATCATCATTTTGACAAGTAAGAATACTAATATACACATCAGTTTTCACACGTTTTCTTTCTTCTTTTCTTCGTTTGGTTGGGAGAAAAGACTAGTACAACCATTTCTTTCATTCGCAATATGTAGTTTCTTTTTTTCTTCAACATACTACTTATTTACAATTATGAAGCACATTTAATTCATTTAGATAATAAATACAAAAAACAAAACTGAACCTTTTTAATATACATTTTACTATTAAAGTCTATGTGAGCATTTTTACGATAACTCTAGATAAAACATGGATAAAGAACTGATTCCTGAAGAAGTAATCATATAATCTGTTTTATTCTTTTATATTTATAGTTCCGTTAAAATGATGTGTTCAACAGTTATATTCAGAATGCATCCTTTATCGTCCATGGCTACAAAATTATTTACTTTTTTTTCGATCATTGCTCCGGTAACATTCGGTTTACAAGCTACCGATTTTTACGTCCATGACTTACCTCTTTTACCAAAAGAAGCTTCGTCTATTCGTATGCATGCTGGACTTCTACCTGTCGATCCACAACACAATGGATCTTTGTTCTTTTGGCATTTCGAGAAAAAATATGCTAGTGACAAATTAAGAACAGTCATATGGCTTAATGGCGGTCCTGGTTGTAGTAGTTCGATTGGAGCTTTGATGGAAATTGGTCCTTTTCGATTTCAAGATCAAAATACAATGATCGAAAATGATGGATCATGGCATTTGTACACTAATCTTCTGTTTGTAGATCAGCCTGTTGGTACTGGATTTTCTACTATTGATACCGACTCATTTATTCATGAACTCGATGAGATGGCTAATCAGTTTCTTAGCTTTCTTGATCAATATATCAAAGTTTTTCCAGAATTACTTGAAAATGATATTTACTTAGCTGGCGAATCTTTTGCTGGTCAGTATATTCCATATATAGCGAAAGCGATTCTTGAACAACGATCAGCATTGAAACTACGTGGTCTTTTGATTGGAAATGGTTTAATTGATCCTGTTACCATATATAAATCATATTTACCATTTGCAGTAGCAAATAATTTAGTTGTTATGAACTCTAACCTCTATGATCGTATTAATATTGAAGTCAAACAATGTGAGCAGGCACTTTCCAAGCAGGTGCATATTTTGGAGGAAGCTTGTTATCCTATCCTGCAAGAGATAGTGGAGAACGGTGCAATGAATAATCACCACAAAAAAAACCAAGAAGGTAGATGTTTCAATATGTACGACATCAGGCTAGATGATACGATTCCAGAGTGTGGGAGAAATTGGCCACCAGAGTTAAAGTATGCTACATCTTACTTGCGTCGACAAGATGTTATGTCGAGCATACACATTAATGATAAGAAAGTGATATGGACACAATGCTCGTCTTCTGTTCAGAATACGTTTACAGCTTATCATTCTAAACCATCGATCATATTGTTGCCTGATTTACTTCAGCAAATTCCAATTATTCTATACAGTGGTGAATATGACTTGCTTTGTAATCATTGGGCAATCGAAGCAATGATAGATGGTATGATATGGAACAATGGAACCGGTTTTGATTTTGGTAATGGAACATTATCTCTAAAAGATCCGTGGATTGTTGATGGTGAATCTGCTGGTCTCATTCGAAGTGCACGTAATTTAACTTACATGCTTTTCTATGGTGCCAGTCACATGGTACCCTATGACTATCCTCGTCGATCACGTTATATGCTGCATAAATTCATCCAATTGGATCTAATCTTATTTCCTGATACAACAACAAGAAAAAACATAGAAGTGTCTACTCGATTAACACGTTACGTCGCTATTATTATATTGATTGTTATCATTGTTATTCTAGTACTGATCGGTCTTATTTGGTGTTTTGTACTTAAACGACATCCGACTAGACTACCGACACCACTCAATATTATACGTGAACTTCGACCAAAAACTAGTAATGTTGAGCAGCCAAAATCGATGGCGTGTTTACTTTTAAACGACTCCAATACAAATTTGCATGTCGCTGATAGTGAAACTTTTGTATGATACGAGCGCACGTGTTGGTGTCAAATTCAATATCCAAATCCAAACTTACTGGAAAAGAATTTGATATCATGTGAGAGATGGATTGTGTAAAGAGAAACCTTTGTATAGTTGCAAATATTTTATTTAAGAAAAAACTTATTGAAATAAAGATAAATAACAGTATTGATGAGTGTGGGTGTGGGTGTGGGTGTGGGTGTGGGTGTGGGTGTGGGTGTGACTTAAGAACAACACCCACATCCACATCCTTACTCACCAACACCCACACCTGCTCTCTATATTGGAGAACAAAAGAGAAAATATAAACGTCATCATAGAAGTATAGAAACTTTGATTTGGCATTTTGGAATTACTTTGTCTTCATAATAAACTACTTAATAATCAAGTTTTACACCGATCAATTGTAGCCTATTACTATGATTTGATTTTATTAACTCTGCGAAAAAATAATTTACTCGATTATTAATATTTTATCGTGGCAATTAGTTTTTTTTACTGACAAACTTTAAATTTACTTAGCGTCTAATTATTTCACTTAGATTTAAATTATTTACTGAGGAAATATAAATTTTACTTTGCAAATAAAGTGTTGCCTTAAAGAACTATCAGGCATGTTCTTCCGCATGGACTCGAGAAACAATATGATATTTCTTGAAAATAAAAGAGAGTCATCCTTCTAAACTCAATAGATAAAAAAAGTCTTAGTTACAACGACAATAATGTGGCTGTGAGATGGCATATATATATCAAAAGCGAAATATTAACAAATTAGCGATGATGCCTGTTTAAGACAATGATTATAAAAACACACTTGATAATCCTATTTGAATAGTATATAGAGCTCAAACAGTAGAACATCATTGATATCATATATACCTATTATAACTGGTAAAAATTCTTGATTTTCTGCTGTCTTTTGGGATATTAAATCGAATTGATTGATGTTATAATTATAAAAACGATAAAGCTTAAGAGAGAGAAAACAAGGATAATTTAGCAATTTTCGAGAATCTCTTCAAGTTCGCTCAGAAATATTTTTCTGATGTTGTGTATAAAGATTTGAAAATTGAATCTATTAATAGTTTTGTCTGTGTTTTTATCTTTGATGTGGCAAGATTGAAACAAGTTTGATCAACGGTAGAAAAAAGATTATTATTGGTTGCACTTCGAAATATTCTTTTAAAATTTATTATTCAACAGATTTATTACATTGTAAAATGTTTTTTTTTTACATCTATTATAACTGTAAGATAGCGTTTTATGAGTTATAAATTAAAGTGAAAATATTTGCTGTAAGTTATAAACAGGCCTTATCGTAATTTCAATAAAAAATATGATAAATCTTTTTTTTCTCTCATGGACAAATATCGATTCATTTTTATTGTCCATACTTGAAGTAATCTTGAGCTATAAGTTTCAGTTATTTTCGAATCAGAATCAGTGAATTCGTGTTGTTTAATACAAGAATATTAGGTAAGTTTCGATTTGAAATATCTAATAATTGTCAGATAGTTAAAAAATTTGGATTACTTAACATCAGATCATCGGATAGTTATCGTTACTAGCAGTATCTTCTATTAGTTGATTAATGAAAAGTTTTTATCGATGCTACTGGTATAGCATTATTTTATGTCTTTTTAGTATCGCACATACGGTTTAGTTTGTACGATGAATTCTGTCTACTCACTTACATCATCACATGATGAACCCGACGTGAACAACTTAGAATTACAAGATATGAGAATTGGCGATGAAAACAGTTCAACAATATCTAAAATGAAATATGAACAAGATCAGTTATCTCAACAGTAAGTATTTCTTAAATGATAAATGACAGCGGATGTCTTTGACTTCATTGAATTCACAGACGGCGTCGGAAACATGCTTTCCTTTCAACAAGAGTTATACGTATATGTCTTATTGTGTTATTGGCTTTCGTTGTCTGCGGCAGCATCATCGGATACAGTGTTTATCACATATCAGAAAACCATGATACGTATGCCGTCGAAGACCAAAGTAATTGAATATTTGATTTAGAAATACTAGTGTGAATAACTTGCTTTATCTACCCATTCAACTCTGATGAAAAACATTCTCTTGTGTCATAGAATAACATTATTAGATACTGTATGATAATCATATGATGTTTTTTTTCTCGTTAGATGAAGACAACGATGACAATCAGAATGAGCAACTTCCTCAATTGCGATCGTACTCGAACTATGAAGTGAGTATTTTTTTCTGTTATAATATAATTATATGTTCATACTTGATTAGATAGAAACGAAATCCATCTAAAGTTATCGGTCATATAGATCTTTACTTTCGTAGATCAATTGGTGGTGGTAGTCGTCGATCACTTCAACGAATTAGTTTTCCTGTGGCTCGCTACAATCACCGACAATTGCGTATATTTTTCAAAACTTATTGATTTCTTAGTTTTTTTCATTATATTTTCTTTTACAGCATTAAGAGATTCATTCATTAGTTTTATGCCATGGACTTCAATTTTTGCTGACCGACGTAGCCGACATACATTTATCTATTCGAAAAGTAGTGGTAAGTGCTTATATGTAATAATATTGTTGATAATAGCTATATGTTTATAGTATATGTATTTCCTCCATTGATCAACAGATATGGAAAACGTTTTTCGATCGCTGAACTAATTGCAGCTGGTCATGTTAGTTTTTATAGTAATGGCAAGCGACCAAGTGAAAATATTGATATAATTTCGATTTATCAAACATCTCCTTGTTAGTTTTCTATTTAGGAAATATTTCTTTAATAATCTTTTTATTTTTTGATAGTGAGTGGCTCGCGAATACCAAAAATTAATCCACGTACAGGTGAATTTACAGGTGGTATGCACACAAATTATGGTTCGTTTTCGTCGTCTAAATATGAAGAGAAAGAGGTCAACATCGCTCATAATTCTGAATCAGAAGAAGACAAAGACGAAGAAGAAGAAAAAGAAAAAGAAGAAAATACTAAACATTATTCTTCTATGGATTCATACAATAGTGATGAACGACCACAGGCACCATCACGCTCACGATCACGACCTCGATATCGACGTCCATCACGACGTACAGGTAATGTAAATGAATCAAGTTAAGCACACACGACGCTATTCAAACAATAGGTTCGAAATGGCTCTAAAAAAATAACTTTAATAATACAATCGCATCTATTAGTACCTCTAACTTTTATAAGACCATCAGATGGCTTCCTTAGCAAAACCTTCTCTTTAATTTATAGTCCATTCGACGCGATCTACAAATACTAAGACACGATCTACAAGTACTACAACGCGATCTACAAGTACTACGACGCGGTCCACAAGAATTACAAAACGTTCTTCAACAGCGACAACGACGATGAATAATTGGTAAGACATGTCAATAACTGAAAAGAGAATATTTATTATCATAATTTTAACTTTTAAATTAAATAGTATTGGCCTACCTGATATTAGTGTAAATTCTCACAATGATAAATTAAAACGGTATTTCTTTACAAACATTCATTAACAATTGAAATCATTTTAATTATATTTACCTTCTTTTTTCAAAGTATCTCAATGCATAAGAGAAAACATCGATGTAATAAGAACGTTAATTCAGATGAGTGTCACCATTGGCATAGTTCAATAATCCAACGAGCTCTAAGAAAACATTCAGTGACACGGAAGACAGCAAATCTTACGCTAATTGATGTCTTATTCGGGGTGAGTATCTCAGTTTTTTGAATGATATTTATTGAGTAATTCTTTATTGTTCTATACATAGTCGTATTGGGTGGCCTTAATAACTGTAGGTACTCCTGGGCAACCATTCTATGTTCTTCCTGATACAGGATCATCTGATTTTTGGGTACCAGGCGTAACATGCGGAAATTTATGTGGTATTGTGAAGAGAATTTTTTTTGTCAATTAAATATTAACATTTTATTTTTGATTTTAGGAGGCACTCATGTATTTAATCCTAATGCATCATCAACATATGTACCATGGGATAAAGACTTCTTTCTTTTCTATGTCAATGGAGCTTCTATTAATGGAACGTTTGCAAATGATACAGTTGATGTATGTATAAGTTATTTATTCTATCAAAACAATAACCAGAATCATATTCTTTTTTTTTATTCGATATTCTTTTCAGATTGGTGGTATATCTATTTCTCATCAACCTTTTGCCATTGTTAATTCAGCTATTGGTGTCGCAGGAGTGGAATTCGACGGAATATTAGGTATGGCTTTTCCAGCAGCTGCAGTAGGCGGTGAAAATCCAGTTATATATTCAATGTATCTGGCTGGTAAATTAAAACTTCCTATATTTACCTTTTGGTTTGAACCGTATGTATATATTTGCAAATGTTTAAAAGTTTTCATTAAAATATTGTTTTTTCTGCATTCGCTAGAGTACCAACTGGTTCCGATACAGGCGAGTTAATCTTAGGTAGTTACGATACAACGAAATTCGTCGGTTGTTTTACATATGTGCCAGTTAATATACAGCGACACTGGCAATTTATTGCCGACAGTATTAGCTTGTCAGTTGGATCAAATACAACTACCATTGCCACATCATTTCGTGCCGCTTTTGATACTGGCTATTCGATAGCCTTTGTAGGTCCTGTAGTTTATGTGAATACCATTTATGAAATGTTAGAAGCAGTATTTGATCCAACCTTTGGATTGGTAAGTGTAAATTAGTAACTTTAGAGATTCTATTTTACGTTTTTGACAGCAGACTTTTTTAAATTTAATTATTATATCGAGGATTTTTCAATTTCTTTTTATTTTAGTATGCTATTGATTGTCATACAAAACCACTATCAACATTTCCAAATATCTCATTAACAATTAGTGGCGTTCCATTCGTACTAACACCACCAATGTACACGTTAATTTTTGGTAATTCTTCTTCCTACATGTGTTATGTTTTAATACAAGCAATTGATGTTCCTGATGACGATACTGATATTTGGATTTTTGGTACTTTCTTTATGAATCGTTTTTATACTATATTTGATATGCAAAAGAATCGTATTGGAATAGCTCGTTCGTCACTATATTCAGTTATTCAGACAGAGCCCATTACATTACCTACCAACCAATAACATAAGTATTGCATGTGGACTAATAATGAATATCATCATTTTTTAATTCTTCTTATTAATATATCATAAGTTCTATTTTATCTTTATTTTGCTTATCAACAATAAATAATAAAATTATTAATCTAAAATAAATAATTTTTTGTCATGAGTATGGGTTGGAGTGCTAGGTGAATACAGGATTCACACCCGGACCGACACTATTGAGCTCAAAAATTTGCGCAACAATGTAATGAACCGATTCTCTATAGTTTATTAGCAGATGGTTCGCAACAAGGTTCATAAATCTTGTTCTTAATTACTTGAGTTATTTATCAAAAAAGAATTCGACAACAAATTGTTCATTTACGATGCCATCGTAAAACGATTTTTCAATTATAAATTATTTCATCATTCTATATGGCATTTTGGTTTCCTGTTATAATTACAATATTTATTCAAACGACATTATTACCCTCAAAAGATTAGAAAGGAACATTGTTGCTGTGATTTATCATCGTAAAAAAGTTGATTAAACAACAACGATAGATAAATCATATTTTATTTTGAATAAATGCGATTTAATCAACAATTAATTTCTAAGGAACACAATGAAATAGTATACATTCTACAACTATTGACTAATAATTAGATATACATGCATCAATTAATTGTATTTGAACATTTGTTAATAACAACCATCATGCAGCCTCTGCCGGACAATAACGAATGGGCTTCATCGGATTTACATTAAAATATCCTTTTATGTTATCATACAACCATTTCTTTCGACTAAAGTAAAAAAATCATAAGAATAACTGAACGAAATGAGAAAAGAACTCATAATTTATACACACCGATTGGAAAACCAAATCTAAATAAACAAAACTAATATATTAATAGACAAAACAAAATACACTTTCTCTTACTCTAACTAGTGGTTCCTCTAAATCAATGCTACGAGCAAGTTCAACACGTTGACGATATTTCATATATCTACAAATATATATATATATATATATATTGATAGATAAATTGAAAAAATATTTTTCTCTTACTTACAATAAGAAAACGCTTCTTCTAATTCAACTAGTTGATAAACCACGAATGTTGTTCTACGACGTCGCTTTTTACGCTTCGATCCTATAAAGAACAAAAAAATTCTCAATGTTATTTGATGATAACGTTGATAGAAGACTACTAGTAGTTGGTTGATATCGTTCATTATCAGATGTGTTTGTTGCCATAATTTTCAAATTTGAATCTGTATTTGTTGATATTGTATAAATATAAATGCGAGTATTTTTAGAAAAGAATAATTCTAATGCAGCAACTAACTCTCGCTTTATATATGAATATAGGTGCAATGATTTTCAGGACATGACCTATATGTATCATTTAGCCGGTCACGTATGTAAAGGTTAACAAATGCTATGTGTGTAAATGCATTGACCTTCTGACCAACAATTATTGTCCCTGTTGCATTGCATATTCTATACCAATGAATAGTGGTCATCCTATAGCCATTGCGATTGCCAGTGCGAGCAAAGAAACCAAAAGTGTTAATGAATGTGAATATTTCGTTACATAAAATTTAAGACAACGAAAATTCTCTATCAACTATAACATTTTGTCCGGTCATTTAGTTTGAATCTTCAGTAGAAAGATAAAAGACAAAAGTTGCTATGTCATCGGGCTTAGCCAGTCATCAAAGAAGAATCTTTTGATACATTTCTATATGTTGCAGTACTGAGCTATTATTCCTTTGCTGATGAAAAACATTCGAACTACGGCTCGAGCTGCTCGTGTTCGTTTAACAGCCAGTAAAACAACAAATAATATTCAATCTACTATTCTTATATTTCAACATACTACTCAAAATTGATCGAAGGCTTTTTTTCCACAAAGTCAAGTAGAAAGGTTTGTCTTTGCTGTTTTGTATCGGATATTATATAAACAACTAGCGATCATCTTTTCGATTTGCTGACTCTTTTCTGGAAGAATCATAATTAGTGCTCAGTATACTCAAATACTTTAGATAAGAACCAACGTGATGTGAACGTTGTTGAAGCTTCTATTCAATCGACCTCTTTTCAATGAAATCCAGTACCTTTATTATAGTATTCATAGTCAGAATCTATTCTTGGGAGTGTGGGTGTTGATGATGCTAAATAATCTTTTGAACACATGCACCCTGTGCTAAGCGATATATAATATCTAATCATTATACTTGTTTCAATTCTCGGTAGTAATACTTTACGAACATCAACAAAAAGTACTGAATAACGACAAATTGAATTATGTAACTGGTACATCTATTAGTAATGATGAATATTCTTTTCCTATCCTAATAAACAGTTTATTGAAATATCATATCTACTCTATAACAACAATAGCAAAAATCCTAATAAAACAATAGAATCATGTCCATTTTATATAAACATCACTATTAATTTGTTCAATAATAAAATCATTAAGTAATTTATTTTCTTTAGATATTTTAGTTAAGAATTCGATCATATCATTGGCAAACTTTAGTATAGTAAATGATAATAATCGAAGTTTACTATCTGTTCTTGATCGAACATGAGATAATATAAGTCCTACAAATGATTCAACATGATTATAATCCTTACAATGAAGATGAAGATGATTAACATGAAAACAAATAAGCATTAAAAAATGAACATCAGCCACTTGATAAACATCACTAAAAGAAAGTTTTTGAAAATGGTTTTCACGAAATAATAAACATAATAGTTGAAGTTCTTCATCGGTTATAGATGTTGAATTAGTAAATAATAATCGAAATAATGATAACGTTTCAATATCAGGTAACAGAAGTAAAATTTTATATAAATTTTCAAGAGAAATTGTCGTTGAGATTCGTAAATGATAGATTTGTGTAATAGTTAATGCATGATAAATATGATCACTAATATGGATTGATTCTACCCAGTGTTCAGGTGACACATCAACTATTTCAAATTCAACAGATTTCAATAATTGGTTTGATTCCGAACCATATTCATACCAATTTCTTCTAAAAATATGAATAAAATAAAAAAATAGAGATTTTTATTTTCTAATTTACTTATATGGTTGAATTGAATAAATTAAATGTCCAGAATCATTTTCAACTTTAAATATCCATCGTCGTTCAAGCCAAAATATTGAATTAAATTCATTTTGTTCTCCTAAATACATTGGTGTTTCATAATCATCCGAAAAATATACCGTTTTTTTAAAATAAAGTTTTTCTAATTGTAATAAATTTTCATGAAGAAAATCTTCCCATCGTTTAGCATTAAGATATGACATGTCTTCATGTCTAATATCTAATGATAAAATTTTTAAATTGAATCTTATTTTTTTAATAAGAATTTCAAATTCATCAAATGTCATTTCAGAAATTTCCATTGAAAGTTTTGTTAAATTTATTAATTTAATTGGTTCAATCGTATTTAAATCATTTATATCAATAAGATTTAAAAATTTTAAATAACGAACATTTGGTGTATAGGATAATAAAGTAAAAAGATCTTTAATAGAACAACCATGATCCATAATAAAATATTCAATTGATGTTTTTTGTTGATCAGTTGTTGCTATTGGTAATGAAATAACTATATCAATATCTTCATTATCACATGTTCGATATTTAAGGTATTTTAATTTTGCTAAATTAAAAATTGGTTGGTAAATGTTCGTGTGATCTTGTTCTTCAGTACATAGATCAATTGTTAATGAATAGAAATTAGGTAAAGAGGATAATTGATGAATAAGTGATGACAAAATACCGGATTTAATAGAATAAAGAATAAGTGATTGAAGAGATTGAAATAATGATAGATTAGATTTAATCGTTGAAATTATTTTAGTTGTATTTTCATCGAATGAATGTATTGATAGTGCTTGATGATGATGATTATGAAGAAGTTCTTCATAATTATTCAGAAAAAGTTCTTTTGATTGAGCATAATTATCATCTAATTTTAATCGTGTTAATGAAGAATTGAGAAGTAATTGAAAACGTTCGTTAAGATTTGAGAATCCATTAAAAATTACATATGCATCAAAGTATTCGAAGATTTCGTAGAAAATTTCATTCGACAAATGTTCGATTGTTGTCATCGACATACTAATGGAATGTTTTTCTTAAAACTGACTGAATATCAAAATCGATCGTTATTCTTTCTTCCTTCGTCTGTTCGGCTTGACTATATGAATATTTTCTCGATAGATGTCTTACGTATACAATTTATTTAAAACAAAAGAAAAAGTAATCAAACAATATTCATATTTTGAAGGTGTTTGGGTAAGGAAATCTTCACCCTTATGGAACATGATCTGTGATAAGAACGAATCATTGGATATCTAATGACGATGTAAATAGTAATATAAAATCATGTGTGTTTTTTTTATTTCATGACTCAGACTATTGAAGAACAGAAAATATAAAAGAGAGAAACCCGCATGATGATCAAACGTAGAGAGAGAAAGAATGTATATATATTGAAGTTCGAAAAACTATATCGGCAACAGTCATTTATTCATCAACAATGGAAACCTGTTGAGTGTGGGTGTGAGAGTATCTGAAATAGAACACTCATCGATATTCACAACTACATCCACACCCATTATGATGGTGATATTTTTTAATCGGGTTTAAAATATCTGATGAAAACAAATCTAATGCATCGATTGATATTTGTTGTTAGAATTACTGAACTTTCTTTTCACACATAACTATTTTGTACACTAGTCATTGGATTATTTGCTATCATATTTCTATTATTTAAATTAATCAGTATGCTACTCATCTAGGGATGTGCAGTGTTAGTGAAAATACTGAAAAACTGACACTTAAAATATCAGTTCAGTGTCCACCGTGCCACTGAAAATGTCGGTGTCAGTGTTCACCGAACACTGAATATAAGTGGTCGGTCTCCACCGTGCCACTGAAATATCGGTGTCAGTGTCCACCGAACACTGAAT